GGTATGTGGAGTGGGGCGGACGAAGACAGGAACAACGTCACAGTACTGCATTCGATCCCCCCTATCGTACGCGTATGTAGTGATGCGTACGCGTCATGGCCATAGGGTTGACCAACAGTGACATACCACTACACAGGTTGTTGATGCAACCTACCTGCTGCCCGCATGTGACTGGGCTGAGATCAGAGACAACCATGAAATAACCATGTGTCGCCGAACGGACTGCACGCGGTATGGCACTTAGGAAAGACAATTCAACTTTGATACCCAAGTCCACCCGCTCCCGGAACAGAACAGCTTGAGCTGCTATAATAGACCGCTTACCTGCACGGACATCAGTTGAGGGGAACAAATCACACCAATAGCTATTGCACGCCACCTCAGGGGAGACACAAAGACCCCACCACGCCACTCACACACACAGTGGAGCCGTGGCGCAAGACTGGGCGGAGGAACCTTTCTCGAGAAGTCCTCGAGGCCCTGAAACGGATTCCCCGTCGCCCCCCCTGCCCCTCCCTCTCCCATTGGCACGTCTTCGTCCTCCTGGGGCGGGGTCACCGCCTGGTCGTACCCCAGCACCCCGACAAACTCGGTCATGTCGTTGAGCTTGATCTGCCCCTCCCGGAAATCATACATCTTGACCACGCACGCGAGCCCAGCAAGCTCGATCTCCTGCTCGTGATGGAAGGTGGAGTTTGGACGCTGGTCGTTTGATGCTGCCACGCTGCTGCTGTGTCCGTCGGCGTGTGGTGTTCTCGCGCCTTCGCTGGTTGGGCCGGCGGCCGCGCGCAATGTTTTCGGCTTGGGGGCACCGTTTTTGTCGCCGGATGCGGCTTCGGCATCACCGATTTCATCCTACGAGAGAGTGAGCAGAGAGAGAGAGAGAGAGAGAGAGAGAGAAGAGAGAGAGAGTGAGAGAGAGAGAGAGAGAGAGAGAGAGAGAGAGAGAGACAGACAGACAGACAGACAGACAGACAGACCGAGCGAAATAGAGAGAGAGCGAGAGAGAGAGAGAGAGAGGAAGCGAGAGCGACAGAGACAGACAGAGAACAATAATGAGATGGAGAGTAATAGAGACACAGACAGACAGACAGAGACACGACACAGAAGGAGGAGCCGGATACTGAGGGGCAGACCGGAGGCAATTGAGAGTTATATTGTGGTTCTGCTCAGATGTACTTGCTTGCTTCATTGCGGTGCTTGGCCAACTAACGTAAGACGTTGACGGGTAAGCTGAATCCCTCCCCCCCCTCCCCCGTCCCCAAGTGCAGCCACATCGAACGACTCCGAACGCACTCTTAGTGCCCGAGTCTCCTCCAAGTCACGGACACCGTACACGAGACAAGTCAACGCCTGTGCAAACGTGGAAGAAACACAAGAAGGTCAACGCCGAGCTGGCCCCAACTCTCTCCAACCACACCCACCGCCGTGCAGTCCATGGCGTCTCCTCCCCCACCCGCGTCTTCTTTTCGCCGGCGCTTCGGCAAGCCTCCGGCGGCGGTAGCAGCAGCAGCAGCAGCAGCAGCAGCAGCAGCAGCAGCAGCAGCAGCGTCCTCCTGTTGCTGTTCCCCCTGGTTCGGTGGAATTGCCCACTGCGACTGGCCCGGAATGGGTACGCAGAACAGAGGCAACCTGCACGGACCCCGTGCGTGCGTTGGTGCGATACGCAAAATTTTTGTCGGGGGTGTAGATACCGGGACCTGAAAGTGAAGAGGGCTCTGGAAGTATCCTGGAGTATGATCGGGGTTAAACGCGGAGAAACTTGAGTTGCGGTCCTTTCCGCAGGCTGCAGCAGAGCATAGTAAGAGTACAGACTATCCGATGAGGGTAAGCCTAGGGTTTCTGATGATGAGTCAATAAGCATGAGGGGGGCCGAGGAGGGGATCACAGAACAGGAGGTACGCCGGCGGTGAAAGAAGACGTGCGAAGGGTACGGATGTAATTCAGAGGCTAGATAAGGGGTTGTACTAACCGATCCATCGTCTTAGCGCCAGGCCCGTCGTACTCGTTCACGAAGCCAGGTCTTTGGGCTATGCTGTCGACGTACTTGACGTCCACCCTGTTGCGCTTGCCGGTGGCGGTCTCGAGTTCCTCGAAGGACCCCACGAAATACTCCGGCTCGTACTGGTCCTGGACCATGCCGCGGTACCGTACCAGAGAGTTTGCCGCCAGCTTGCCCTGCATCGTTCGTGTCGTGCCGCACACAGCGTTGTTCGTCATCATGACAATTCATCATGCCGAAGGACTCGTATCTGTTTCAATGCTAAAAATACCGCATATCAAGCCCTTGGCCTAGGCCATGTCCAATTGGCTCCTAAAACTCGATTGTTGTATCTACCATGATGTCAGATATTTTTGATCTGCCAGAAGCGGAAAGGGTTTCTCGTGCACCCACCCATGACTGCTGTTGTACAAGGAATGGACTTGACCTTCGACCCACTTCGAATCATCTCACCCAACCCCAGCGCACAGCTCTAGACTACTACTGGAGACTCTACTTGATAGACATGCATGCGAGGACCTGTTGATAAAAAAAGAGGAAATGTCCTCGAGGGTGAACATAAACTGGCCACAAAAGGCATAGCACTCACTTTCAACGTGCCAGGTGGGGACGTACTGGTGAGGTTTGGCGATCTGGCTTGTTGCATGATTCAACTTCAGGGGGTAGTATTATTTAACGTCATGCATCGCTGATTTGAATTTGCGAATTGAACGAAGCACCTCCAAAGGCACGAACACAGCAAATGAACCAGTGACATGACACCTTCGTACCTTGGCTAGGGACTCTCGAGAGAGTATGGGGACCCTATCCAGGGCAGGGGAAGAACCCGAGCACAGAGCATCAGAGATGGTTGCACCCAGCAGAGCGCTCTCCCCGTCACTAGTGTCGGTGCTGTTGTTGCCGCTCGCTTTCAGCTCTCCCCTAAGCCGCGCGATGACATCCAGCGGCCTCGCAATCAGCTCGTCGACGTCCATGGTAGCCGTCATGAGCATGTATAGGGTAGCCGAGGTTGATGATTGTGTGCCAGGGCGGGAGGCGGAGGAGAAGCGCGCGTCATTTCTCGCGGTATAAGTTTGAAATTGGAGGCATGTTCATTGGTCAAGAATGACGGCACGTTTCCAGAGTGCAGATCCGCCTACCCCTGGGCTTGGGTTTTCCCAAGCTGCGTGCCCCGTGCCATTCGTGTGAGCCCGCGCCACACTCCATTACACTCTCTTCCCAACCAAGCTTGCCGCGGGAGAGAGCCGGCGGCTGCGTTCATGGCTCATTTTGAGGACTGTAAATTCTACCGGCAGCGTGCCTGTCTGAACGGTGAAGCCTTCGCAGAGCCAATCGAGATCTTGCACGAATTGCGCCGCATATTTCGTTTTCGTCACCCCCCCCCTCGCCATTGCTTGCACCTGCTACCGTCTTCTACGTTCTACGAGCGTGGTCTATATATAGTTAGTGGTGAAGAAGTTGTCTCATTTATTTCGTGAGCCTAGCGCAATGGTTCTGCGGTTTTTACTTCAAGGCAATGGACCTTTACAGCAGTGCCAGTTGACGGCCTTGCTGCCTCCACCACGAACAGAGCTGCTGCTGTACAAGCGCTCTCCTTCCTAGCTGTCACTGCTTGCACTGCTGACTATGCAGGTGCAACAGATTCGAGGCTTTCGCTGAGAGTTGCTGACCATCAGATAAATGGCGGATACGTTTTGTGTCTCGAACTGGATCGCTGCTGTGCCACTATCCGTAGCCGGCACCTCTGCACACCTTGTTGTTACCACTGGAGAAAGAACAGCTGCGGCTATCGCCTCTGCGTGTGTGTAAGCAGAAAAATCTGGCCCTCCGAGAAAAGCAGTGAGCCGATGACGCTTGAACATAGAGGCGGAGTACAGACGCAATGCGACCCACGCACGAACACAAGCTTCGACCAACCCTTGATTCCATCATGACATGCTCGGTGGTTCCATGCTCCTATGTACCGATTATCACCGCACCGTACTCAATCCTACAAATCCCAGGTGTTCACTGTGGATTTCGACACAACGAGGCGTCCCGCCACACGGAGCGCCTGTGCAACAGATGGGCCGCAGGTGAGTGCCGAGGTTCCAAAGGGTGCCTCTCGGTAGGGGTCTCACAGCAGCTGTACTTAGGTGCCACACATAACAACCCAAGCTTCCCTTGCTCCCAATTTTCCGTTGCTCACTTCTCCATATCGTGGCGCACACACGCAAATATATACGATCGTGCACCACGCAACGTAACATGTAAGTGCGATATGAAGTCAACGGTTATGACCCATTTTACGTACCAGCGACGTTTCATGGGTTATCCTATTTAGTGCTGTGTATTCGAGAGTGCGTACCCTCCCCCCTCTGACTCCACTCCTTTGTTCTACCCCGTGCTCCGTCCGGTGTTTGCCATCGGGATTGGGTTTTCGTCGCTTGGCAACGACGTTGCAAAACAGGGCCCCCCCTCGGCCCTCGGTGTTTGCCATCGGGATTGGGTTTTCGTCGCTTGGCAACGACGTTGCAAAACAGGGCCCCCCCTCGGCCCTCGGTGTTTGCCATCGGGATTGGGTTTTCGTCGCTTGGCAACGACGTTGCAAAACAGGCCAATTCACTTCGTGAACTCGGCAACCAGGTTACCATTTTTTTTACTTCCGTGTTTTTTTTTTTGGCGGCAACCATAATGGTGGTCGAGTAGATCATGTTGTGCGGGGCGGATAACCCTCACTCCGCGCAAGGGGGATGATCGCACCACGGTGTGTTAAAATGGTCAAGCACCCTCGAGGCAGTTACACAGACCACTGTGTCAGGAAGTGAAAGCACCAGAAAATACATTAAGTTATACGCAGCTGTCATCCATACGCAAGGAAGTAAGCACAAGATGCCGAACACCCTTA